TATCTAGTAGGAAATCAAGATATTGAACTAGTATTTCACATAAGCACTGTGAAGAAGTATAGGATAAAATTAAACAGGGAAATTAACCAAAAATAGGACTTGGGAAAAGTTTCCCTTCAAGACATGATTATAAGCTGAGGTATTAATGTTCTAAAGGAAGAAGCTCATTAAATGAGATTGAGAATGGGTATTGGGCATACTAGAAAAGAACACTCCAGACAGAGGAAGAAGCATGTAGAAGAACAAAGTATGGTCCATTTGAAGAAGTTAAAACAAAATCTTGGTCTATCTAAAGTATAGGAGACGAGTCATCATGTGAAATCTGGAGATGCCTGCAGGTGCTACATCATGTTTAGACAGGTGTGCACTGCTGAAGACGTGGGGCGTTAGTCTACACATGACATCAAAGGGGGAAGCCATAAGATATGAATTTTTAAAAACGCATTCTGGATTATCTAAATAAAAGGTATTAGAGGGAGAAAGAGGGATTATAATGTAAATATAGAGGAAATGATATAGTGTTTCAAATACTATGGGAAGAGAGAAGTGGGTGGAAATGAGAAAGTTTTTGACTCGAAAGTATGACTCAACTGGGCTTAGTGATTAAATGGATTTTTGGTGCAAGAATAAAAGTTCTGCAATGTAAGCAACTGAGCAGATGGTGGGATTTTATTATTATTAATGCTAAGTCCACACACCCAAATGAATACAGAGAATATCTTAGGAGATATATACTTTTGAGGACAGAGAAATTCATATTGCCAATTTAAGATATTTAAGATTTTGCTCCTTTCATTTATTTTCATGGCTATATTATCCTATGTATTCATTATCTATTTCAATTTAACAAATTACCACAAATTCAGTGATTGAAAACTATGCATGCGTATTTTTTTCCAAAGTTTTTATTGGTCAGGTGTCTGGACAAGGCATAACTGGGACCTCTGATTCAGGATCTCTCACAAGGTTAGAAGTAAGGCAATGGTCAAGACTGGGGTTTCATCTGAAACCCTGAATGCAGAAGAACCTACTTCCAGGCTTACTCGAGATTGTTGAATGAATTCAGTTCCTTGTGGACTATTGAACTAAGGTTCTTAGTTCCTTATTGGGTGTAGGAGTTTTCCCTCAGTTCCTTGTCCCATGGGCTTTCCCATACAGCAACTTGAAATATCAAAACCAATAAAGAGAGGATCTGTTAGCAAGAACAGAATTTTTTGAAGCCTAATCATGGAACTCCCTCTGTGTTTCCATATTCTCTTGATTAGACAAAATTACTTAAGAGAAGAAAATTACACAAAGCCATTGACAACAGGAGTTTGGGCTGTTTGTGTTGTCTTGGAAATGTGTCTGCCATATATCTCTTATATCAAGCACAAAAATCAAAATGAAACAGACCTCATGAAAACTTGCTGGCATCTTGCTATATTGACTCCAGTATAAAAATTTATTCTTCCTAGGAATATATTTATGCAAGTTTTAGAGGCTAATATATAACGTGGATAAGGAAACATTCTATATAGAAAATGCAAGTTGAATAGAAATAAATTGTGAAAACATTTCTTTTTACAGCTATTTATAGTATGGGATGGGATTAAGGAACTATGGAACAGAGAACTAACATAACTGTCAGACATTATGAACTTAAAGGCATAAATTATTTTCATTCTTTAAAAATGCTCATATTACTTCTCAAACTATCACTATTTGCAGATGATATGATAATATACATAGAGAACCCCAAAAAGTCCACAGAAAAACTAATTCAACTCATCAATCAGTTCAGTAAAGTGGCAGGATACAAAATCAACACGCAAAAGTCAGTAGCCTTCCTATACACAAACAATAAATCTGAAGAAGAAGAAATCAAAAAAACCATCCCTTTTTTTATTGAAACAAAAAAAATCAAATATTTGGGAATAAATCTAACAAAAGAGGTAAAGGACCTATACAAAGAAAACTATAAAACACTGTTAAAAGAAATAGAAGAAGACACAAAGAAATGGAAAGACATCCCCTGCTCATGGATTGGAAGAATAAACATTATTAAAATGGCCATCCTTCCAAAAGCAATCTACAGATTCAATGCTATTCCAATCAAAATTTCAATGTCATTCTTCAAAGAAATAGAACAATTATTGATGAAATTCATATGGAATCACAAAAAACCCCGAATAGCCAAAGCTCTCCTAAAAAAAAAAGAAGGGAATGGAGGCATCACACTCCCAGACTTCAAACTCTACTACAAAGCCATAATCATCAAAACTGCATGGTATTGGAACAAGAACAGACATACAGACCAATGGAATGGAATAGAAAATCCAGAAATAAACCCACAGATTTATGGTCAACTAATCTTTGACAAAGGAGCAAAGACTATGCATTGGAGCAAAGAAAGTTTGTTCAATAAATGGTGCTGGGAAAACTGGGTCGCTACATGCAAAAGAATGAAGCTTGACCACTACCTCACACCATACACAAAAATCAACTCAAAATGGATTAAAGAACTAGACATAAGACCTGAAACCATAAAATATATAGAAGGAAATATACGCGAAACACTACGTGATTTGCACATCAAAGACATCTTTACAGACACATCACCCAAAGCAGTGATAGTGAAAGCGAAGATAAACAGCTGGGACTACATCAAATTAAAGAGCTTCTGCACAGCAAAAGAGACAATAACAAAAACAAAGAGAAACCCCACCAACTGGGAGAACATTTTTGCACCCAACACTAATGATAAAGGACTGATCACAAAAATCTGCAAAGAGCTGATGAGACTTAACAACAACAAAGAAAAGAATCCAGTCAAAAAATGGGCAGAAGAGCTAAAAAGAAACTTCTCTGAAGAGGAAATGCAAATGGCCAACAGGCATATGAAAAAATGTTCAACATCACTTGTCATCAGGGAAATGCAAATCAAAACTACCATGAGATACCATCTTACACCAGTGAGAATGGCACATATTAAAAAAACTAGCAACAACAATGTTGGCGAGGGTGTGGAGAAAAAGGAACTCTTCTGCACTGTTGGTGGGAGTGCAAACTGGTCCAACCACTATGGAGAGCTGTGTGGAGATTTCTGGACCTACTAAACATAGAGCTTCCATATGACCCAGCAATTCCACTCCTAGGTATTTACCCAAAGGACACAGAAACATCAATTCCAAAGAACACCTGCACCCTATGTTTATAGCAGCACTGTTTACAATAGCTAAGCTTTGGAAACAACCCAAATGCCCAAAAATAGATGACTGGATCAAGAAGATGTGGTACATATATACCATGGAATATTACTCAGCATTCAAAAAAGATAAACACATGCAATTTGCAGCAACATGGATGGCACTGGAAGGGATCATGCTCAGCGAAATAAGCCAAAAAGAAAAAGAAAAATACCGGATGGTCTCACTCATAGCAGGAATCTAGAAAACTTAAATAAGGGAACAGGAAAACGAATAACTATAAGAAAGTGAAAATCAAAATCAACAAAAAAACTACGAACCAGAGACACTTTTAGGGGGGCGGGGGTGGGAGGGGAGGGATTGGGGTCAGAATGGGGGGGCTGCAATTGTATGGGGATTATAAAAATAAAATTTATTATTATTAAAAAAAAAAAAAGAAACATCTAATTTTGACTAATCCTAAGGTTTGATATTTTAATGTCTTTACAAAAGCTGGGACATTCAGCATAACATCTTTTTGCCAAATACCTTATTTTACATAACTTGTTGCACATTGTTTGGACTTGATTTTGACAGATTTTAGTCAGTTCACAGAACTCTGTAAATTGTAAAGCATAAAATATAATGTTTGGTCTACTCATTTTAGAGAGTTCTTAAAATGGACATAACTCATTTGTGGCAGTAGCAACAAGTGTTTAAGAATTTCTTCTTTTTTCCATGCTGTCCACATCAGTTAGAGGGTTTCCAAAAGAAAAAAACTTTCAGATATTTTGCCTACCTTAATGTGACATAATAGTGACATTTCTAACTTATTAATGTTGTAAGCAGGTAGGATATGAATTTTTCATCAATATTTTCCCATTTTTATTTCAAACTGATGTGTGAATGTTCTCAATATTGTTTTTATCATCCACAGCACACATTTTTAAGTTTTAACTATAACTCAGTTCTATTTCATAATTCACTTTAGTAAGAATTTTCCATGCAAGTAAGTCAGGAAAGGGCTATTATTTTTAAATATCAGTTTCTATGTTTTGTATTATTCCTGAATGTCAGGTCAGCATTTCCAATTTTATGATTTAATTATTTGATCCATGATGTCAGACACTTATTATAAATAATGAACAGTACTTCCTTTCATCTAGAGCAAATGTTATTCATATGGAAATTGGCCAATTTGGAATTTAACAAGAAGGGAAGTCAGATAATTTATTAGATTTCTTCTAACTTTGCTCATGTCTAATAGTACGCAATGCATACTATTAATACTGTCTGCTGTAAGTCATTAAGATAGCAGGCTCAAGTTGGCAGACTTGGTGCAATTTTGAAGTTCTAAGGCTACCTCCTCTTCATTTACATTTTCACAAATTAAAATATTTACAAATCAAACAACCTATTTAAATTTCTTTGCTAGTGTTGAATTGTGTGTGCTATGATACTACAACGGGGAGATCTATAAAGAAAAAGATACTTGTATATCAGCATTTTAATTTTAAGATACTGTCAAACAGTAAGGATAAAGAGACCATCTTTGGATTTCTATAGGTTCTTTGAAGGGACCTTATGAGATTCAGATTTCCATTACCAAAGAAAGAAGGTATGGGAGAAAAAGGACATCTAGGGTGAAGCAGCAGAAGCTACCAACCTTGAGTGGGAATGGGAACATTCCCAATGCTGAGAATGGAACTTTGGCTCATTCTTTATAGTGGGAGCTGAGCCCATCAGAACATCACTCCTGTGGAGTAACAGTAATGCCTGAGAAGGAAATAGCTCCATGAACTAAGGTTTACCTGGAAAGACTGACTGTATAACATGGGCATCCGTCATGGTGACAAATCTTGTATGGTTTAAATAGGTTCTGCCATCTGCTGCATAAAGACAAATCATAATCTTAGTGTATAAAACCTTTAATAGCAAAGAACTTTGATAGAATTTGTGTACAATAAAGAGAGAGAATAGAGAAAGGATCGTAGCTTCATGAAACATCCAAAGTTACCCATGCCTTCATGGGTAAATGTCCAGCCTAACAGTTTAACAAATGGAAGGAGAGTGAATGCTACCAGTGTGTATCCATTGTCCTTGCTACTATTTTGACATTATAGGATCCCCCCCCCACTTCAAACACACCAAGGTGCAGTCGCTGTAGCCCTCCTGCCAGTGAAATACCATCATCTTTTTATTTTTAGATGTTATACTACGAGTATATCTGATTATCATCTTGAAAATACATTGAACTTGACTTTTTTTCCTTAAATGCTAAAGCCACTTTGCCTGTTTGGAGGGGAAAAGAGAAATGTATTTTAGGTTATTCCTAGGAATAAGAAACAAAAAGAGGTGTCACATTAGTTCATGATGTCAATATTTTTTAAAGGCAAAATACTATGATAAGTCAGAGAATTCTTTTCCTAATCAGAGATTCATGTTATCTCTTGGCATAGGAGTGTATTCTTATTTAGTGTAAACAAATTCTAGATTCATATGTATAAGGATTACCACTTCATTCAGTTATATCACTTCAAAATCTACTTGAACATACATTTATCTAATATAATATTTATTGAATGCTTATATTCTTGCCTCTACATTAGTAATATAAAGTTTAATAAGGTATTATTTCTATGCATAAAAAAGATAATTGCATGTGGAGAAAGACAAACTCATATCACTGGTCTAAGGACATGTTATTTAATTCATTTGTTTTATACATTAACGATATATTATGGACATCCTTGATAACAGACACTATGCTTCTAAGTGTGGTTACTGTCCTCATAGACATTCTCTGAAGAATAAAGGCAAGTAAACAGGCCAATGCGATGTATATGATAAGGTCTCAAAGAGAGAAAATAGAAGGTTCATGGAACATTTGAAGAGAGTATCTAGCCATTATCTCAGAATCTCTTCCTAGAGGAAACCATATTGAAACTGTCAAAGTATAGGCAGAGATATCAGTGGGTTCCAGGATATCAGAGTTTCAGGAATCAGGAAGATTAAGGACAAATGAGAAAGCATGGTCCATTTGGAGGCCAAATAAAGATAGGCTAGACTAAAAAGGCAGAACCTTCATGTTCTAATTTTGAAATCTTGACTAAAAGCTATAGAAATATTTGTTGTTAATAATTTATTGACCATGTTTTCTATGAAAACTGAAATCGTATTAGCTGCTTTTAAGTATAAATTTGAATCTGAATTCCTTCTCTTTTAAATTTCTGTGACAATATCCACTTAAATACTGATGTCATATTCTCAGTAGTTTTCATTGATTTATGTCAATGAAACTTGCCACCACAGAGCCTAAATTGTGACATATTTCTTTCAAGAACTTATAATAGAATTTTACTGAATTTCATATCACATAATTGGATTCCTTTTTATGAATGTAAATTAATAAAACTTACACAAATAACCTTATAAAAAGAATAATGCTCATATTTACAATTCAGAAAATAAAAAGTAGTTGAAAAGATTGAGTAATTTACTGACATTATGGTTGACTCTCTTTCATATTTCTTTCTTCCTGTTGAATTTTCAACATTTTCAAAGCTAATTTGTGTCACTATCTGCATAAACCCACAATCTGCTAAAGTTTTTCCAGTTCTGAAGTTCAAAGAGTGCATGTGCCAATTTTCATTCCCACTGTCATCAGGGAAACAAAATGACATATCAGTAAATATGCTTTGCTAAGCTTCTCTCAATCTTAAACTGCAGGAAATAAGCCTAGTCACCCTTAAACTCAAGCTGTCAATCAGAAAATCAGAAAGCAGGATACAAATAACATATGCTTGTAGCATTGTAGAATCCACATGTGGTTGACATGCTGAGTGATTCATAAATATATCTTTTATCCTCAGAAAAGCAGAATTTGAATTAATAATGAGATAACAAAATGAATCCTAAATATTCAACTTATTTCCAGAAATCAGGAAAGGGAAAATTAATTTTTCATTAAGGGAAACAGACTGAATAAAGGCAATTTGTCATAAATAGCTCTAGGATAAACTAGTTAAATATTACATTGAATGTAAAATATAAATGCTAATTTCATATATTTATATATTTATTTCAAAAGGGACAGATGGATATAATCTGTGAATCAAAACTGTCTTTATAAGGCCCTGTTGGTTATCAGTTTGGTTACCAGTTTTACCATATTTATAACTAGAAAGAGATCTTTTACGTTAGTGGTTCCCATATTGCATTTACCTTATTTTCAAAACAATAGTATGAGATTTAGGGCAAATTCTTACTGAAACACTTAAACATTGTTGCTAGAAAGTCAATATACATATGCACATATATATTTCTCCTATAATGGTAACTACCAGTATTATTAAATTTTTATGGTTGAATGTCCTACTTTAAAATTCCACAGGTTATATTTCCACTGTACAAAGTAAATAATATATGAACCTTTTAGAAGGTTTAAAATTAAAAGTAAATTGTTTTTCCTTATTTCTGACACTGAAGAAAATTTCCAGCTTTTCTTAGACATATTATTGTGCATTTTGTTATATTATACATTGAATGCTTCTTGTTAGAATAATTTTGAAATATCAATTCCAACCTTAATGTGGTGATTTAGTCACCAAAGCCTTAAAAATCTAAAATCATTTAGATTCTAAAAAATTGTGAATCTCAATTTTAATATTTAACTTTAAGGTTATTAGACAAACAAAAACATATGTGTGTGCATCATTACAAGCAAAATCAAAACATTATATGTCTTCCTATTTTTTTTCTTCAAAATCAACTTTTTTGATTTTAATGTATTTCTCCTGCTCTGTCAATCACAACTGTTTTGGACTTTCTGTAATTGGTGAAGTAATTACCTTTCATGGTTTTAAGTCATGTGCACATTTTGTAGCTATTAATCATTTCCTGCTGTGCCCTGAGTTAAATTAAATTATAATACTAATACCAGAAGGGCCCCCAATAGCTCTTTCTCAGAACTTTAATAAAGCAATCATCAGTAGAAATAGGATTTTCTTTTTTATATATATAATATAGAGAACAACCGTTTTGCTAGAGTGGACAGATGACATTTCCTATTCTTCAGTGCTTACAGTTCTGCAACAGCAAAACTGTGAAATAACATATCATAAACAATTGATGTGGCACAATTGGTTAGTAACTCCAAACAGCAGCATGGGCTTTTTCCTTCTGCAGCTGCCTGCCCTTGCTCTCTCATTTGATGAAAATTAAATGTAGAGTGAATGTAAATACATTTCTGCTCTATTCTCACTTTCATGACTACATTGCTCTAGTCATGCAGGTAATTTAAACCAGTACACACATGATTTCTAGGTTATAGTGAGGTGGATTTCATGCCCGAAGTGGTTCCAATTGGAGCCACCTCTGAAACTTAAATCACCAGGTGGAGATTCATGATAACTATACAGATATATCTTGGTTGCAGTATTGGGAAAGACACTTATGGAAGGATCTGATGCATGTAGTTCAGGGTTGGGTGACAACTATTTAAGCTACTAATTCATCAGACCTTAGCATAAATAATCATGATTAGGGATATTTGAAAATAAAACCATGTTGAAGAACAAAATAAAACATAGATCATAGCACGTAACTACTGATGAATTTAAATATCTAACAATGGAATATGCTTGTCCCATTTCACTACCTGGAGAAAATTTCAATCCGACTTGCTCATCATTTTTGCATTAAAATTTAACCCCCCCATTTTGTTTAAAACTGGGCTCATGTAATAAAGTCTTAAAGTATAGATAATTTGATTGTCTACCATGTTGTAGGTAAAGTATAATAGGAAATGATATTTCTTACAATAATTAAAATTACCTATTATTTAGAGATTTTTGGAACATTTTCTGCTAAATGCATCCTTATAGAAGTATAAAATTGGAGTTCTAGTGTGCGTTGTTGCAATTTTATGTGTTATTGAGCTATTACGAGACTTTTTTTAAAAAAAAAAGATGTTTATAGAAATTGCACCATAAAGCAAAAGTTATATTAAAAAGATAATCTGAGCTAAGAGGAAATATAAAGCAGAAGATTAGAGAATAAATGTGGATATTGAAGATATAATAAATGCCAGTGTTTGAAAATAAAACAAAATAGCACAATTTATAAGCTGAGGAAATTTATAAAGAACTGTTTTCTATATTTTCACAAAAAAAATTCTTTGCCTGCAGGATACTTGGTAAAGTATTTTTAAATGCATTTATTTTTAATAATGAAGTTTTCTTCTCTTATCAGCTGGATACAGTATCATATCATCTTTCCTTTTTTTTTTTTTAAGTCTGTCATTTTACACTATAGCAATTGAAAGAAAAATAAGAGGACAATGCTTCAGACCTCATTTAAGAACAATTCTTTGTGCTCATGAATTGTTTCTAAGGGAGGAAAGAGGGCTGTTAAGGAAGACAGATATCATACAGGCTTGTCAATCACATTTAATAGGCAGTGGTGGACGATAATCTCCTTCTCATCAGTCTCTAGCAGACTAGTAGACAGAACTCATTACTGTGCAAATGAACCTGCCAAAAGCTTCAGCCATTTGCCTCAATAGAGGTCACAAAGAGTTGACACCAGTTAAAACTGGTTAAATGTGGTCAGGGAAGGAAGAAAGAAACTGTGCATCTCCACTGTGCATGTGTGTGCGTGTGTAGGGGGTGGGTGAGCTGTATCAATGTCTTTCCTGTGTTTAAAATTAGTTCCTACCATCATTTAATATAAACGAGAAATGTGCTTTTAAGGTTTCCAATATGATGGTTACAAAATGTCAGTTCAGCATCTTTCAGCCTATAAAGACCAATGGATTTTTAAAAGCATCATTTGTCTTTCAATGGACTACATCTTACTGCGCCAATCTTTTGATTTAAAAATACACAAA